GAGCAGGGAGCCCGATGTGGGACCCGATCCCAGGACCCTGGGATCATGACCTGAGCCGAAGGCAGACGCTTAACCATCTGAGCCACCCAGGCGCCCTCCAGACAGGTCTCTTGAGGCAGGAGAAATAAAAGCAAAAATAAACTATTGGGACTACATCAAAATAAAAAGCTTCTGCACAGCGAGGGAAACAATCAACAAAACTAAAAGGCAACCCAGGGAATGGGAGAAGACATTTGCAAATGACATATCTGATAAAGGGTTAGTATCCCATAAAATACATTATGATCACAATTCAACACAATTATTAGTTATGATAGTGCTTATCCACAAAAAGGAAAATGTCTCTTTTTTTTGCATTATTGAGAGGGGCAGGCAAGTAACAGAAGGTAAGTATATTGTAATCTCACCGTATTAAACTATAAAACCATGCAAGTAAAAATTTGGAAATACATTCTTGAAAATAATGAGTACTTCTGGATGATGAAATTATAGGTAATTTAAATCTGATTCTTTATAATCTCAAGTTCCTGATTGTTTTTCATTAAGTCTGTAATACTGTCATCAGAAAAACAGACTATAAAGTCATTTTTATTTCGTGAAAAAAAAAAATTAACCAGAGATAGGGTAGGAGCATCCTATATGGTAAGAAAATTATGAATAGGCTGTAAACACATGCCTGTGACAGGAATATGGGCCATTAAGAAAATCAATGTGACTGAAGCAAATACCACCGACATGTTTCAGAACATTAAAAAAATTACACAAACTCTGAAAACAATATGTATTAGTTGTAAAAAATTCTATTACATGGATATGGCCTGGATTAACTTAACCATATCCCCACTGCTGTTTTTGGATATTATCACCTTAAAGGTCATCCCAAGACTTTGATTTTAGGCCTGGTCTTTCACTGTAAAAAATGTTTTTATTACGGGGCGACTGGGTGGCTCAGTCGTTAAGTGTCTGCCTTTGGCTCAGGTCATGATCCCAGCGTCCTGGGATCGAGCCTCGGGCTCCCTGCTCCGCAGGAAGCCTGCTTCTCCCTCCCCCACTCCCTCTGCTTGTGTTCCCTCTGTCGCTGTGTCTCTCTCTGTCAAATAAATAAATAAAATCTTTAAAAAAATGTTTTTATTATTATTATTTTAGCATGAGGGTCATGTCCCCCCCCCCTTGTGATTCTCAGGAAAGTATTGGGGTTGGGGGATGAAGCACAAAATCAAGTAGCTGCAGAAGTTGTACTTCACAGTTTGAAGGGGATTTTCATACCCTCGAAACTGCTCTAAGCTTAATAATTACTGCTCTAGATCACTTGAATACTGATCATCATCATCTTACTTGCAAGCACCATCATAACCTACTTCATATTTTCACTTCTCCTGATCTTTTTTTTTTAATATTTTATTTATTTATTTGTCAGAGAGAGAGAGAGAGACAGCACAAGCAGGGGGAGTGGCAGACAGAGGGAGAAGCAGGCTTCCCGCAGAGCAGGGAGCCCGATGTGGGGCTCTATCCTAGGAGTCTAGGATCGTGACCTGAGCCGAAGGCAGACGCTTAATGGGCTGAGCCACCCAGGCATCCCCACTTCTCCTGATCTAAAGCAAGAATCAAGTTGATATGGTCCAAGACAATACAGACTAGGCTGCCCAACCTCAAGCCAGAACTGGCTGCCGCTAAGAGTACTTGTTAAAATTTTCCGGCAAAAACGGTGCCCAAGCCCTCTCAGTCCCACTCCTCCCATCAAGAGAGGAGGGAGGTCAGAAGAGGCTGTCTCAGGGAAGGACTGGCCAGATGGGTCCTGAGTTATAGGGGTCTCCTGGGACAGAGTATTGGAGTCACAATGGCAGTCGAAGGCACTCCATAACCATACACGCAATGCCACGGTCACGGTAACAATCGCACACTCACCTCGCACACACACACGATATCTGTACTGTCATAGGCACCACCCACTAGCACACACGGTTTCTCGGAGATGAACCACACCAGGGATACACACAGTCATACAGCAGAGACACGGGCTCCCCGCACCTACACACACAGTCACACAACGTCACAATCATACACCCGCCACGGGGACATGATTGTCAAACGCAAGATCACAGGCGCCGCACACCGTCACACACTCACACCCACCCGCATCCACAACCTCTACCCCTCAGCCCGCTTCAGGCTCACGTTGCCTCACCTCGAGCCTCAAGAGCCCGCTTCCACAAGGGCTCAAGTTGCCTCATCTCGAGCCACTCCACGGTTAGCTCCAAACAAGCCGAGCTGAGCCACGCCTACCACAGTCTCCCCCGACTCTCGGCGGTCAGGTTAAAGTCCAGCTCGCGTGGGACCAAACTCAAAACTGTCGCAGTAAGTTGACTAGGGCCGCGGGACCTCTGGGAAATGTAGTCTGGAGCCAGACTGCGCGGAAAAAATGGCGCCGCCCGGGCGGGATCTGAATTCCTGTCCCCACGCTTCAGGAATTTCGGTCTAGAATCCGATCGAGGGCTCCCAGGTGTGGCCCACCGGCCTGAGTGTGTGATTGATGCAGGAAAGAACTCCAAGTCCCTGAAGAACTTGATGTGGGAAGTTGCAGAGCTATCTGAAAACTGTGGTCTGGAGATGAAAACACCAGGAATCTGGTGGAAGGGACTTTGTACTCCACCAAGTCTGGGCATGGGACTTGGCCTTACTAGGGGTACTCAGAGGTTGATTTCCTGGGTAGGCATTTTTATGGTGGCTGAGATCTGTGCTCAACCAAGTGGGTGATAAACACTGGGCATTTCAGACCCTGTTAAAAAAAAAAGCAACACAAAATTCAACTGAGTCAATTTGAAGATTTGATTGACTTTATTGAATATTTTATCAGCAAAAGATAGGTTTATTTAGGAATAAAAGACAATCACAAGCCAAGGCAAAACCCTTAGGCAAGTCCAGGAAACAAAGGAGAGGTGGTGAGCTTTTTTTTAAGGACAAAAGAGTTAAGTTGGGAAGGCTGTTAAAAAAGTCCACTGGAGTAAACTGGGAGTTCAAAGTATGGTGGCTTCTCATTGGCTGAGCTGTTGCCCTGGGGATAAGGAAAGTCTGTTCTTTGCCTGGAATAGTAGTTTCCACATGCAAGGTCAAGTCAATCTCTTCCTGCTGGGTCTGCAATTGACTACCAATGCTAGGACAAGAGTGTCCCTGCCCAAACCTCCTGAATCCATTTTAGTTAGGTTTCCCATTACTAATTTTCAAAGAACAATTCATGAATTGGGCAGCATCCCACCTGACAAGTAAATAGGAGCTCAAAGGAGCTGTGCAAAATGGAAGGCATTTATAGAATGATAGAGGAAAGGATAATGAAAGAAAGGATTACCTCATCTTCCTTTGCCTTATGTAGCAGATTACCTCATTGGTGCTGACCAGAAAACTCCAGACTGACCAGTTAAGACTATAGTCCCTTGTCGGGTTCTGCACTCAGTGCAGAGTCTGCTTGAGAGTCTCTCCTTCTCCCTTGGCACCCACCCCCCTTGTGCTCTCTCTCAAAAAAAAAAGAACAAAACAGAAATCTTGTGTATACTTAATGCAGTTTCTCTCAATGGTAACATCTTGCAAAATTATAGTATAATATCACAAGGTCTAAGTATATGACCTTGATATAGTCAAGATACAAAACATGCCCATTACCATAAGGATCCTTCATGTTTTCCTAGTCATACTCATTTCCCTCTCAACTTCATCCCCTCCTTAATCTCTGGTAACCACTATTCTGTTCTCCATTTCTACATTTTGTCATTTAAAGAATGTTATATATAGGGGCACCTGGGTGGCTCAGTCGTTGGGCATCTGCCTTTGGCTCAGGTCATGATCCCAGGGTCCTAGGATCGAGCCCTACATCAGGCTCCCTGCTCAGCGGGAAGCCTGCTTCTCCCTCTCCCACTCCCCCTGCTTGTGTTCCCTCTCGCTGTGTCTCTCTCTGTCAAATAAATAAAATCTTAAAAATAAATAAATAAAGAAAGAATGTTATATGTAAAATGGAATCATGCAGTAGATAATCTTTTATGATTTTTTTTCACTCAGCATAATTCTCTATATATTCATACAGGTTGTTGTGTGAATCAATAGATCATTTCATATTATTGATGAGTAATATTCCATGGTATGGCTATACCACACTGTAATCATTTATCATTGGAGGATATCTGGATTGTTTCCAGATTTGAGTTATTATGAACAAAACTGCTACATTCAGGTACAGAGTTTTTAAAATTGTTATAAAATATACATAATATTTGTCATCTTAACTATCTTTAAGTGTACAGTTCAGTAGTGTTAAATACATTCACATTGTTGTACAACCAATCTCCATAACTCTTTTCATCTTACAAAACTAAAACTCTATGTTCATTAAATAAAAATTCTATTCCTCCTGCTCCCCATCTTCCAGCATCCACCATCTACTTTCTGTCTCTATGAATTGGACTACTCTAGGTACCTCATATAAGTGGAATCATACAGCATTTGTCTTTTTGTGACTGGATCATGTCACTTAGCATAATGTCCTTGAGGTCCATCCATATTGTAGCATACTGAAGAATTTTCTTCCTTATTAAGGCTGAATAATATTCTATGTAAATTTTGTGACACCGTTCATCCATCAATGGACACGTGGGTTGCCTCCACCTTTTGGCTATTGTGGATAATGCTGTTATGAACATGGGAGTACAAATATCTCTTTGAGAGCTTGTTCTCAATTCTTTTGTATATATACAAAATATACAAATTGCTGTATCATATGGTAATTTTTGGTGTTGGAAAACTGGACAGCAACATGCAAAAAATTAAACTGGACCACTCTCTTATGTCATGCCTAAAAATTAACTCAAAATGGATTAAAGACTTGAATGTAAAACCTGAAACTATAAAACTCCTAGAAATAAGCAGAGCTGTTACCTCTTTGATATTAGTCTTGGTGATGAGTTTTTGGATTTGACACCAGAAGCAAAAACAACAAGTAGACTAAATCAAATGAAAAAGCACAGCAAAGGAGGGGCGCCTGGGTGGCTCAGTCGTTAAGCGTCTGCCTTCAGCGCAGGTCATGATCCCAGGGTCCTGGGATCAAGCCCCGCATAGGGCTCCCTGCTCGGCGGGAAGCCTGCTTCTCCCTCTCCCACTCCCCCTGCTTGTGTTCCCTCTCTCGCTGTGTCTCTCTCTGTCAAATAAATAAATAAAATCTTTAAAAAAAAAAAAAGAAAAAGCACAGCAAAGGAAACCATCAACAAAATAAAGAGGTAACCTACTGAATGGAAGAAAATATTTGCAAACTTTATATCTGATAAGGGATTAATATCCAAAATATATAAAGAAGCCATGCAACTGAACAGAAAAACAAACAAAAAATTTCAGTTAAAAAACGGGCAGAGGACCCGAATAGACATTTTTCCAAAGACATACAAATAATCAATAACGGCATGAAAATGTGCTCAGCATATCAAGGAAATGCAAATCAAAACCACAATGAGATATCCCCTCATACCTGATAGGATGACTATTATCAAAAAGACAAGAAATAAGCATTGGCAAGGAAGTGGAGAAAAGGGATATGTTATGCACTATTGGTGGAAATGTAAATTGGTTAACCATTATGGAAAACAGTATAGACTTTCTTCAAATAATTAAAAGTAGAACTACCAAATGATACAGCAATTCCACTTCTGGGTATTTATCCAAAGGAAATGAAAACACTAACTCAAAAAGGTGTATGCACGCCATGTTCATTGCAGCACTATTTACAATAGCCAAGACGTGGAAGCAACCTAAGTGTTCATTAATGGATGAATGGAAAAAGAAAATATGATATATTTAGAAAGTGGAATATTATTTTGCCACAAAAAGAAGGAAATCTTGCCATTTGTTGTTTTTTTTTTTTTTTTTTGGAAATCTTGCCATTTGTCACAGCATGGATGGATCTTGAGGGCATTATGCTAAGTGAAATCAACCAGACAAAGAAAGATAAATACTGTATGATCTCACAGAATCTAGAACAAAACAAAACCCAAATTCATAGGTACAGAGAACAGATTGGTGGTTGCCAGAGGTGAGGGGTGTGGGTGGGTAAAATGGGTGAAGGTGGTCAAAGGTCTAGTTATAAGTAAGTTCTAAAGATGTGATATACAGTATGGTGACAATAGTTAGTACTATTGTTTTGTATATTTGAAAGTTGCTGAGAGGATAGATCTTAAAAATTCTTATCACAGGCGCCTGGGTGGCTCAGTTGGTTAGGCAACTGCCTTCGGCTCAAGTCATGATCCTGGAGTCCTGGGATCGAGTCCCACATCGGGCTCCCGGCTCGGCGGAGAGCCTGCTTCTCCCTCTGACCCTATCCCCTCTCATGCTGTTTCTCTCTCTCTCTCTCTCAAGTAAATAAATAAATAAAATCTTTAAAAAAAAAAATTCTTATCACAAGAAAAAAATTTGTAACTGTGTAGTGATAGATGTTAACTAGACTTATTGTGATCATTTCACAATATATACAAATATTGAGTCGCTCTATTGTAGAAAAAATCAGTTGTATTTATATACACTCGCAATGTACAATCTGAAAGTGAAATTAAAAACAATTTCATTTACAACAGCATCAAAATAATAAAATATTTAGGAATAAATTTATTTATTTATTTAAAGATTTTATTTACTTGAGGGAGAGAGCACAAAGGCATGGGGAGGGGCAGAGGGAGAGGGAGAAGCAGACCTCCTGCTGAGCAGGGATCCCGGGGCTCGATCCCAGGACCCTCTGGGATCATGACCTGAGCCAAAGGCAGACCCTTAACCAACTGACCCACCCGCCCCTACTTAGGAATAAATTTAACAAAAAAGTATAAAACTTAGAAAACTACAAAACATCTGGTTAAATAAATTTTAAAAGACTTAAGCAAATGGAAAAACATCCCAAGTTTATAGATAGGAAGACTTAATATTGTTAAGATGGTAGTACTCCCCAAGTTGATCTATAGATTCAAAATAATTCCATCAGAATCCCAGATGACTTATTTGTAAAAACTGACAAGCTGATTCTAAAATTCATACGCAATTGCAAGGGATCCAGAAGAATCAAAACAACCTTGAAAAAGGAAAACAAAGTAGGAGGACTCCTACTTCTCTATTTTAAAGTTACTATAAGGACAATCACACACTATTATATTGGTACATGGATGGGAACATAGATCAATGGAATAGAATTGAGAGTGCAGAAATAAACCCAAACATCTATAGGATCAATCAATATTGATGATTCAGTTGAGAAAAATTGAGCAGGTTTTTAAATAAATGTGCTAGCCACCTGCAAAGAATGATGTTGGGCCCTTATCTCTTATCATTTATAAAAATTAACTCAAAATGGATCAAACTGCTAAGTTCAAGAGTTATAACTTTTTTAGCTTAAATTTTGTTAGTTAACACAATGTAATATTGATTTCTGGAGTAGAATTCAGTGATTCATCACTTACATATAGCACCCAGTGGTCATCACAACAAGTGCTCTCTTTAATACCCATCCCCCATCTAGTCCATCCCCCACTCACCTCCCTCCATCAACGGTGTTTGTTGTCTACCGTTGAGTTACTTATGGCTTGTTTCCCTTTCTCCTTTTTTTCTTTTCTCCCTTCCCATATGTTCATCTATTTTCTTTCTTAAATTCCACATATGAGTGAGATCATATGGTATTTGTCTTTCTCTGACTTATTTCACTTAGCATAATACAAGGTAGGAAGACTTCTGTAAAACTCTCTGAAGAAAACACAGGAGCAAATCATCATAGTCTCAGACTACCAAAGGATACTTAGATATAACATCAAGAGCATGACCAACATGAAGTGGGGGAAATCGGAGGGGTAGACGAACCATGAGAGACAATGGACTCTGAAAAACAAACTGAGGGTTCTAGAGGGG